GTGCTAGATTCCCCTTGGCGTCCCATTGTCTTCAGTTGGCCAAATAAAAAATTTCCACTTGTTTGCTCTTTCTCATCTACCTGTGATCGCCTGGCTCCTTTTGAAATTCCAGACTCCTCCCTCCCTCACATTAGTCCAGAATGGCATGCCAGCCTCAACTATCCACTAAGTCCTTGGGTCTCATAGTCTTAAGGAACCCCTGGATGTACATACATAATTAATTTGGTCATTTTCTTCTGTTAATCTGCCTCATGTCAATTTGATTATTAGTCCAGCCAGAAGGGTTTAGAAGGGTAGAAGGAAAATTACTTTTCTGCCCCCACACTTCCATTTCCTCCTCCCTCAATAAACAAGTCTCATGTAATGTAAATCAGGTATGTAATTCCCATGGCATTCTTTGTATTTCCCATTTTGACACAGGTGATCTGGACCTGACAAAATATTTATGTAGCTAAATGGTTAGACTGAGTAGTTCGGGTTGAAGCTAAATCTCCAGCTTTCAGTTGCACAAGCATGAACTTATTTTAAACATTTTCTCATTAAACAAAGGCTGTCAACATCCTGTCTCTGTTTCTGGGTGCATAGAACAACTAAATCTGTTAGCGTGCTGACCTTGTTAAGGCTCTTAAGGCTCAGAAAGTGACTACCCAGAAAGTCTGAGTCACACCACCAAAAGCTGGGACCTGAGGAGAGTTAAGAAAAAAAATCCTGAATAAATAGTAAGTCCTGAATAAAGTCTCCCTTAACATTTTAACAAATGTCAGGATGATTTTTTCTTTAACACCACTTAGAGATCATTGATGTATATGCGCTTTCAGGTTTTTGCTGAGATTGGCTATGCTACAAAGTATTTTTCTTAAAGCAATTTCAATCACTAAGAATTGTAATTTATACATATAACTCAATAGGCACAAACGGAACTCAACAGCTATTGCATAAATTTGTGGACATTTAGTATTCAAACCTATAATGAGTATGCCTTAATGTTTTGTATTGGTTTTAATTATTATTTGATTAAACTAACATGATATGTTTAAAGCTGTCCAAATGTTACTTGGAGTATTATTTTAACAAAATTATTCCACATAGTTTATGTAAAATTATAAGGGAACCCCAAGAATCTTTGCATATCAAATAGAAGAGATGTTATGTTTTCTTTATCAAAATCACTGCTGGGAAGTTGATTTTTAAGAACAACTATGGAAGAGAGATAAAATGCAAAACTTACATGTTGCCTCTTTGTGTCACTTTTGCCTGAGACCACTAAGAAGATTGAACAAAAACACCTTTAAAAAAATGATTATGTCTAGATGTAACTTTGAAATGAAATTAATTCCTTAAAGAATTAAAGAAATAAACTGAGGAGAAAGTCCACCTTCCACTTATTCCCAAACTTTATAATTATTATAGAAGAATCCATGAATCACAGTAATGAGAAAGGTCAATTTGTTTAGATGTTTGGTGTGAACATCTTTGCTTAATGCTGTCTTTTATGCAAAATATTCAAACTCTGAAAACATTCTATCACTATGGCATGCTGATCATTTTTGCACCTTGCTTTGTTCAAATGTGTTCACGTATGAAATCTAAAGTGTAACCTGTATTCAAAGATTTACATATATTGCATTTCTCAGTTCTTGTCCAAAATTTCTCCAGAACTCTCACCACAACGCCTTCCAACTGTCTGATGCCCACATTCAAGGTCCCTTTTGCCATACTCAGTCATTCATCTTAGTAGTCCTTCTTCAAAGGACTATCAATTGCTTATCAGTAAAATAATCAAGTAACAAGTGACTATAGAAAAATATGCAAAGTCATAATTTAGTTTCAAAAGTTACCAATCAAACTTTTTTGTGTAAGTGGCACAAGTGTTCTTATAAAAGGCTTTCCTACCCCTGGAGCTTATGCGGCTAATCAGGGGAGTCCTCCTAGCTGTGCAGAACCATTCTGATCCCTTTAATTAACCATGGTCATTACCAAGTATTTACAGAAAGCTGGGCTGGCTGGACAGCATTGTACAATCTGATCTGGCAAATGTACAGAAATTGCACTCCAGATTACATATTATGGCACTAATTACCCGAATGAAACTCCAGGGGCGTCTTGGGTAGATGCAGTACAGTGAATTAAGGAAGGAAATAATTAGTCACAATTGCAGAAACTGGCTAAACACAAAGTGAAAGAATGCATGCAGCCCATTTCCTCCAGAGTACAGGGAGCCTTAGTAACAGAATATGCAAAAACACAACAGCAATGCAAAAGGTAAACAGGAGTTCTTCAAACGAGTAAGAAAGGGACAAATCCCAATTTTAAATTACAAAAATGACTTTATTTAAGTTATTTTCTGTTCCTATGTACTACATAGCCAAATAACATTAAGACATTTTACCATGAAATTTGCACAATGACAAATCAACTTTCAAGCATTTTCTTGACAGTCTTAGAGGTTTTGCCAGCATTTGACACAATCTGAACACAGACAGACAGTGAGAGAAAACATAAGGCAAAGGGAAAACTGAGTGAGCACGTAAGGCGTTGGATTTCAAACCTAGTAAAATAGTCATTAAAGAGACAGAACCAGGTGAGGGGGAGAGAGAGGAAATGGTAATTAGCAGAAAGCAAATATATATCACATTAAAAACCATGCATGATAACTGTTTTTAATATGGTCAAGAAATTAAGTTCAAATGTATATATCCCTTTTCAAGGTCTTCTAATAAAAAAAAAATTTCCTTGGAGGTGAGAGATCCTTTTCCTTCTACCCCAAATAAACTTAGGGATTTACCTATGTCAGTGACTGGCTTGGGAAAATGAAGTTAAGAGTGGATCCCTAATTAGAAATCGTATTAGAAGTGTATCACTGAAGCGTAAATCTGAAAAACCAGTGGCAGGTCTGGTTGAGACGGTCCATATCTTCTTACAATGTGTCTGAACAGACAAGGAAAGGTGAGAAAAGCATAGAGCTTCGAGACATCTCCTTCACGAACAACTGTGTTGTTTTGCTAATTTAGGGTTAGTGTGGAACTTTGCCCTGAGTTATTGAGATCCTACCCAAATGTGAATTGTCTGAATAACATGATCACATTTAGTATTGATAGGAGAATGTGAACTGAATCTTAACTTAGTCTCTAAACACAAATTGAAATTATATTAAAATTTATTTATTCATTACTAAGTACTACTGACAGTTTGCATAAAGATGGATCATGAATGCTATTTAAGTAAACATGTCATTACTCTTGATCAGTTATGAAATTAGAGAGTAAAATAAACTACTTAAAAGTGAACTTTGATTACAGCAGAATGAGAAAAATAACAGCAAAACTCCTCTTGGGGGAAATGGCACTAAGAGATGTGAAGATTTTGTCTTCTCTTCCTTAATATCAGAGATCATATTGCAGGAACTTAAACTTTCCTCATCTCAAGTAACTCAAGGCCTTGAGAGACAGATGAGTCCCCTCTAAATGAACAAAATACTGCTGAAACCGGTTTGGCTCAATGGATAGAGCGTCGGCCTGCGGACTGAAAGGTCCTGGGTTCGATTCCGGTCAAAGGCATGTACCTTGGTTGCGGGCACATCCCCAGTGGGGGGGTGTGCAAGAAGCAGCTGATCGATGATTCTCTCTCATCTATGTTTCTAACTCTCTGTCCCTCTCACTTCCTCTCTGTAAAAAAGTCAATAAAAAATATATTTTAAAAAATGAACAAAATACTGACAGCAGGCACATTTCCCATACCTTTATGAAAAAGCAGGATGCCATGTGAACTGTTAGAACTCACTACAGCTAGTTAGCTATATGGGGAATGTGTGGCAGGGAAAAAGGTAGGTGGACAATTAAAAATTGTAAATAACTGATTTTACTGTATCAAGAACCTTTATATTAAAGGTGTGGTTAAAAACAAATGAAATGAAAACCCAACACATAACTAGTTTCTGAGGTGTGAGCTTAGGGGAGTTCCATTGGGATATACTTAATAAGCTCAGTTTCAACTAGCTTAACCATTAAAACAGACCAAAAAGAGTAGCTGTTATGGGCTTCAAGCACCCAAAGGAGTTATGAGTATATATGGTGCTTTTATATTTATATAAGCAGTTTCCCATGGATCCTATAGAAGTTCTCTCTCTCTCTCTCTCTCTCTCTCTCTCTCTCTCTCTCTCTCTCTCTCTTTTTTTTTAGCAAGAACACTTATAAAATATGGGAAAAGATTAGGTAAACATCCCCTTTATATGAAGTTGATCTGTTAAAGGACTTTAGAAAATTGAGTTCAGTTACCTGAGTTTCTCATTTAAAGGCTAACTAGTAATTGAATGCTTTTTCACTTAAGAATGTGAACAAAAATCTATAATATTAAAATGAGCCAGTGTTAAAAAATTTCGATTCAAGATAGAGTTTGAGAATTTTGAATTTTTATAAAAGCTAATAGAAACATCTGTGAATTCTCCTTTTTAGTGAAAACAGAAAGACATGGAACTATGCTGATTTATTGGATGTTATTTAGAACTTAGGTGTAGGGTCAGCCTGCAGACTCATTAAGAAAGCAAATCGAGTTCTTTTGGAATTTTGAGCAAATTGTTACAAGTGATAAAATAATTACTAGTTACTTACTTCAGTTATGAACCCATGTGAGATTATGAGTTAACACCAGATAAAGACTTGAGCATAAATATGATTTTGAACCTGAATAGATCCCTTTTGAAGATATAGAAAATAACCATAAGTTTTATACAGAAAAATAGTGCACCCAGTGTTTTAACAGTAGCTCTTGAAGTTTACCTTTCAAGGGGGTATTTTTGTCATGCTCAACTGTGGACAATCTTCCAGATTTTTGTTTTGTCTTGTTTGTCTTGTTATTTAAAACAGGCCTATGTTTCTAAATATAGCACATTAATATGAGAGATTATGTGGATTATTTTCTGCAGCAGCACATTGTTCATAATCAGGATCCTAACAATATCCTGGAATTGAGTATTTTACCCTACAAGAAATATAGCCATGTTACTATTTTAAGCCTATTGTTTCAATTACAGGTCGAAACAAATCTGATGTATAAATTACCATTCTAACCCTTAGACATAGGGCAGAAATGTGAAGCACTTTGGTCTGCAGGATTAGATTATTAAGTAAATGAGAAGCATCTTTCCCCAATTCTTCACCCCATGCTGTACTGCAACATTAAAAACACGACTGAGGCACACGTATCTGCTGAGTAGTACCCAAGGTTGTGTTTCACATGACTCAAAGCAGCACTGAGCAAAGTCACCAGGATCCAGGGGCAAATTTTAAAAGCAGCATTTTGAAACCCCAACGCATTTTCCCACTTTCTCTCATTGTTAAGCCACAGAACTTGAGTAGAGGAGACGAGGGCTTGGCAAATAGTCCAGGTGATTTGGTAAATAGAACAAAATTCCATGATCGGTAGTACTGTCCTGGATTGTGGGCACGTATAGTGTTTTCATTTTCTGTTCCATACAGTTTTACAGCGAAAAATTTTGCCCAAGACTTAGAAAATGTTGGGTTTTTAAGTACAAAGACATGAAAGCTCTACTTGGTCATCAGGCAAAACTGCTAAGTGATATCCACTTAGCAATTTCAGAAAAATGTAACAGAACCTTTCTACAGGGTATACTTATTTTAAGCCAGAGAACATACAGGTTCCTGTGCTTGAATCACTAGCATCACAGCAAGAACAGCCTTGAGGGGAATTGATTATATATATAAATATGTGGGTTATTTTGTGCAGCAGGCAGAATTTGAATAGATTCCACCGCCACACTGCCCGGAGGAACCAGTGGGCCTGACTGGCATGCACCAGTTCTTTAACAGAATGCCTTAGTAGTGAAATATTTTTCCATCTGATGTGTCTACATATCAAGATATCAAAGATGATTTAATTACTCAAAAAAACCAGGCTTCTAATTCTATGATTTTTAAATTTAATTACCTGTTTTAATGAAAATAAATTAAGGTTGCTCACCAGTACTACTTAGCTATATTGAGATTAATGGGAGGTGGGGGGGGGGGCGGGGGGGGGAGGGGAAAGGAGCCTCTGTATTTAGCTTTTCAACATTTTTAAATGTCGGTAAAAATGGAAATTGATTAAATTATAAATGATGAATTCAAGCATGCCAACTATGGGAAATTATTGTATTTACTCACTTAAAAAAAATCCTTGTCTAAGGATAACTTTAACTGTCAGGTATATGAAATAACGCAATTTAGGGTTCTCTTGGAGGTGGGGGGCAAATTGAAAGATAATGTGTCAATGCACTTATGTGAATTTAAATTCCAGAAAAGAGTGTTTTATAGAATGAAGGGCTCGGTCAATGGAGAAGGCAGCTGGTATGGAAATAACTAGCACAGATTCCTTGGTGTACACACAATGACAGCAAGAGCAAGGAATCGTACAGGTGTAAACAAGCTAACAATGACCTTGGCAAAATATCTTCATCTATTTAAAAAAACACCCCAAAGCATGCAACTTAAAAATTCTTTCCCTTTCACAAGAATTAACTGAACAACAACAACAACAACAACAACAAAACAAAACAAAAAACAGATGGAACCATCAGTTTCTGTTAGTAAAAAAACAATAATAGGTACATTAGGTTCCAAGACAAATAAAACTTTAAAATATTAATATTGAAAAAATACAATTATATTTTTATTAAAAAATACATACTCCTGACTTGATCTTTGTGTACATTTTGTTTTGTGTGAAAAGAAAAAAAAAAAAAAAAAAAAAACCTGGAAAAGCATTAACACTACCTAATTATTTATACTGTTATTTGGTAGAAGCATGTTTCAGTCAAACTTTAAACAAAAATAAGTTATTCTGTTTTCATTTGCTCCCGGACATCAGAAGGCAGGGTTTCAAACAGGGCATCTTCCACAACTAAACCAGCTCTCTTCAGAGCCCGGCAGTCCCCTAGTTCGGGAGGGAGGGTTTCAAAGTGATTGCCTTTAAGATCTAAGTAGGAAAGGAACAGTAAATTCCCAATTTTTGGTGAGAGTACGGATAGGCTGTTTTTCCCGATCTTCAGAGTCTTAAGTTTCTTGCAGAAGTAGAGTTCGTCGGGAAGGTTCTCCACTTTGTTACAGGTGATGGAAAAATACTGCAAACTTTGCAGGACCCCGATCTCAGGGGGGATGAAACGAATGTCGTTGTAGGACAAGTCCAAGTATCGGATCTTGTTGCATAGGAAGAGGTGGGAAGGCAGCACCTCGATTTTGTTGTGGCTGAAGGACAGACGCTCCAGGCTGGTGAGTTTCTTTATATGCTCCGGGATGTAGGTGATGCTGTTATGCCACAGTTTTAGCACCGTCAGCTTCCTCAGGTGCTGGAAGCTGACGATCTCCTCGATGGATTTCAGATTATTCTCCTTGAGGTCCAGCTCCTGGAGGCTGAGCAGGCTGAACACGGCATGGGGAATGCGCTCCAGGTCACAGTGCACCAGCTCCAGCTCCGTCAGGTTGGTCATCTTCTTCAGATTGTTGAGCATCACCAGCTTGGTGCCGTCGTTATGTATGCACATCTTCTGGAGATGGCTGGACACGTCGACCACTGCCTGAGGGATTTTGGAAAGGTTGCTTTTGATAGAGAGGATTTTAAGGCTTTTGAGGTCCCTCAGGGACTCCAGGGCGACATTTTTGGAAATATCGTGACTTAGGGAGCCGACCAGGTAGAGTTCTTCCAGGTTCCGGAGTCCGTACATCCAGGGGGGCAGCTCCCTCATGTCATCAAACTTGACGCTCAGGACCTTGAGGTTTTCCCTCAGGAAGGACAGCGCCGCGCAGTGGATTTTGACGGAGCACTGGTGGAGGGAGAGCTCTTGGAGATTTTCCAGCTGCGCCACGGTGGCCGGTATCATCACGTTCTTGATGATCTCGAGCTTCAGCGACTGCAGCTCTGTGATCTCAAACACGGTGTCTGGCAGGCCGGAGAGCATGATGAGAGGCAACTCCAGGCGGTTGTGGGCGTTCGTCTGCAGCTTCTGCCTCAGCTTGTCAGGAGTCCACTCGTTATTCAAGTTCAGCTGCTTTAACTTGTTTTCACTCACTTCGGACAGGAACACTGCGAATCGCTTGGAATACAGAGGGTCATACTGATCTATCATATGAAGCATAAAGGCAAAGTCGTTTTTCACATCCGGGATATCATCGATTCCAGTCTCCTGCCGGACATACTCAAAGGAGTACTCCTTCAGGGAGCGGTAGAACAGCCAGTACAAGGTGTAAAGGCACGTCAGCCCGTAGATGCTTACGAAGCACAGGTAGCAAAAGGAGAGTTTTGAGAACAAGTGTGCCATGGTATGGTTGCAAGAGAAGTTCCTATACCCAGTCATGTCCTGGATGTCCACATTACAGTCCACGGTAAACTGGACCTTGGACACCAGGGCGCTGTTGTAGGCAATGATGATCAGGAATTTTATAACCTTAAGTACAGTCTGGCGAACATACATGGCATATAGTATATCACCTTCTTCCACGTGCAGCCTGAACTTCTTCACCTTCTCAAACAAGGCCTTCGCCTGCTCTCCTTCCTTCTTATCCAGGGCCCCCGCAGTGGATTTGTCAACCACAAACTTCTCAGGAATTGACTTTAACGACTGAGAGTTGACCAGGGTGCCTTCCGGGCCAGCCTGGACGGTGTTGGACCTGCTCACGTTATTCTTCCTGTTGTCCTTCTCTTCCGAGTCCTCCCCGGACACTTCCGACAGAGCCCGTGTGGTCCAGGGAGAGTCGAAACACTTCCCCAGGATGGAGATGAAATGCTCTATTTTGGAGCTGGAACCAGGGAACTTGAACCAAAAGTTGCTGCACAGCATGAAGATCAGGGTGTGGATGAGGACGAGGTAAGGGAAGTACTTGGCATACCAGTGGAGGGCTCGCTCATAGCACATCTGGTTTATGAAGCTGTACTGCTGGAGGTCCAGGTCCGTCTTCAGGCCTTTCATTTCCACGGTGACTGGGCTAGTCGAAGATGGGTTAGGTGGAGGCAGGGGGGTGGTTCCGGCAACTGCTTGAGAGACATTCAAAACGGAAGAGTGGTTCTCAGATGGCTGAACTCTTTTCGGAAGGCAAATGATCTTGTCTTGCATGACCTGAAACACAGAAATAATATTTTCAAATTATATTATTCAAAGAGCTTTCATAATATCATTAGTGCAAGGAAAGCAGCAATAACATCCAATAAATGTCCACTTCCTTTGTCTGGAGAATACAATGTCCAATTCCAGCACAACATTTTATTCTTAACCCACATGTTGGAAAAATGAAAATTTATGACTTTGTTAATCACGTCTAAGTTATGACATAAAACACCGCAGTTTTGTTGACCCAGAATGATTCACAACAAAATAAATCTTTAAATAACTGCCATGTATTTTTAAAATGTTGCATTTTCTCTCTCTCGCTGGAGCCTGGGAGAACCAATCATTGGTCTGGGAAGTACATCCCTTTATCAGGCTCTGTCTTGAGCTGGATGGCTCCCAAGATTTAGATTCGCTTGGGTATGAGAAGTGAAAGGATTGAAAGGAAAAGTATGGAAGAAATGCCTGTCTTTCTCATTCCCTCTTCTCTTTCTAACCATACCCTGGACAACATGCATAGATGAAAATGAATGGCCTTAATGGAATGGGAATTTCCCAAGCTTTTATAAAAGCCCTATCTTCAAAGAGAGGAGAAAGAATATACAGGTGTTCAAGAGGGAAATAAGTATGTTTAATCTTGCTCGCTTTTCAGACAAAGTATTACACTGAGAACGTCTCTCCCTCTAAAAATACTGCAATTTGTTGAAAAGAATATTAAGCCAGCCTAAAAAATGTCTAGCAGTCTCATAAGATTGCACTTTGGGTAAAAGAGAATGTATCCTTTGTGAAGATTAGGTAGTATGGGGCAGAACACAGTTTGAATCAATCTGAAGGAGTCATCTCCAGAGAGAAACACATGGAACGGGGACTGAACAATAAACAAACAGTTTAGAGCAGTAATAACCAAGGAACTGACAGCAATAATATATGGAATTAATAATGCAGGGAAAGTCTATTTGTACCTTAAAATATCAAATGACTAGAAATCCACAGTGTTCAGTAATTCTGCAACAGCAAATGTTTAGTAATTTGGCAACAGCTAAGTCCTTTATATCGACGAGTGAAGTAGAAGCTGAATCCACTGCAAAGCGGCCTGCTATGGCCACAAACTGGTGACATGGGAGATGGCCCGCCAGACAGAATTACAAGGTTTGACGATGCGGTGCGGCATCCAGCACGGTAGAGTGCCTGGCACACAGAAGACCAGCTTACATTTGCTGAGAAAGTGAATGAACCCAGAACTGACACCAGCCCTTCCAGTTCAGAGCTGCCATAGGTCTGTGTGTGGACCTCATCTCTTCTAGAAAAGGGTGGTGATTATAGTAATGCAGCAGCAAGCTTATATTGTAGTTCACATGCAACTGACTTACTTTAAAAATGTCATGGGTATTAATTCTTTTAATTGTCACCTTAACCTGACGAGGCAGGCACTCTTATTATTCCAATTTCACAGGAGACCAAAACACAGCAAGGTTAAGTCATTTGCTCATGTCATCTAGCCCAGGCCACCAGGATCCAAAGCCTACATTTTTATTTTATTTTAAAGAATTTCTAGGATTAAACCAAAGGATCCCAATCTGATAGTGATTTACAAATTACCTTATATGAATTATTCCTGTTTTTGTTTTTTTTTTTGAAAAGCTTAAATTTTCTCATATCCTAAGCATATAACAATGTAAAAAGAGAGGTTAGAGGAAGGGGGTGGGCAAGTTTCTCCACAGGATTTATAAAAGCTCTGTCCTAGAATGTAAAGCAGGGGCAGGTACTTACATAAATCAAAAGAACAACAAAGGTAATCGCATTCAGAGGATTCAGTGGCTACAGAGGTGTGAGGATTGAACAGAGGTCTTCATAGAATATCATCACTTACCCATGTTAGAGAAAAAAATGCCCATTCAGTATACCTATGTCTATTCATAGATATATCCCTAAAGTACTGCCAATCTCTATGTCAAATATTAGAAAAGCTTAATTCTTTTCCCTTTAAGGTAAATATAAATAAAACTTTTAATTTTTTATCTGATATCTCAATGGAGTATCCTTCACTTATCATGGGGTCAAGCACTATGCCATGGAATCCCAGGGACAGGAAACAGTAGGAGAAAGCCTAAACAAATGCCTGACGATCTTGGAGGAATATAAAAGAGAACGAGTAAGAAAGTCGGTGTTTGTGTCATGTTCTGAATGTTTTCCTATCAGTGGTCTTAGTAATCACGTTGACAATCTGTGGAGTAGGCAGAAGGTGGGGGCTGAGACCAGCAGGGAAAAGGGATTGCTTCCCTGCGCACCTTCTCCAAGAGGGACACCTTTGAGCTAGCATGCTGTTATGTCATTGCTAGTGGAGTGATGAAAATACAGAAGAATCGGTGTGAAAGCGATAAAAGCGGAAGGTAAAAAGGCGGCACCTTCCCAAGGTGCTAAATCCCTGCCATGCAACCAGGCAGACCCATTACTGTCCCCCTGCCCAGCCCTTTCCCAGGCTTGCTCCTAATGACGGGAGGTGATAAACCTCTGCACCTTGGTTGGGTAGGTTTCAGGTTATGCACTGCACCAGGGTGCCCAGCTAAGGGGCACCTCGCGTGGCTATGGCCACACAGTAGGGGTCCTTTTATTTATTCTGAACAAAGCACCTGATCAGTGCCTCTGCCATGCTAGGGAGGCAGGTCACATCCTCCCCTTTCTACAGAAGAAATCGACCGAGGTTCAGAGAACTTGGGTAACATACTTGCCCAAGTTCACACAGCTAGAAAATTATAAAGCAGGAATTTAAAGCCACCTTTTCCACAACCTACTGTCTTTCCACCACTCCACATAGTCTCCCCAACTCACCAAGCTTCTGCTAGGACCGTGGTCGGCAAACTATGGCTTGCGAGCAACAAGAGGCTCTTTGGCCCCTAGAGTGTGGCTCTTCCACAAAATATCATGGCCTGGGCGAGTCTATTTTGAAGAAGTGGTGTTAGAAGAAGTTTAGGTTTTAAAAATTTGGCTCTCAAGAGAAATTTTAATCATGTACTGTTGATATTTGGCTCTGTTGACTAATGAGCTTGCTGACCACTGTGCTAGGATGCCTTTATAGAGAATGGCCTAGGGTAGGAGGGTAATTAGTACATAGACAGTCTCAGAAACTCCTTTCAGCCTCTGACATCTACTTATCTTTCAATCTTCTCAAAGATATAAATTTTAAAATGTGTCTACTTAAATCCCAGAAGGGTAAAGACAATGGCCTATTTTCCAGAAGCTGTTAAATTCCGAGAACTTAGAACAGAGTAGAAAAATATACTGGGCTTGAGTCACGAAGAACAATAACTGCTTGTGCTGCTAATAGAACATGCACTAAGAAGAATTCAGCAGAGACACAGCTCAGAGTAGACTTTGCAAGGAAGGTGGTGGCAAGCTGTCTAAACCAAAACTATGACAAGGAACAGGGCAGGTTATGGAGCTCATCAATAAAGAGTGTGGAGATCTAAATGGTAATAATTTAAAAAGAGAGAAACTTATCCTGCATGATTAATGGAAACTGTATTTCTGAACACTACAACTTTGAGAAGAACTGGGAGAAGGATCAGCATTTTCAAAATCATGAGTAAAAAGAAAGAAGATTAAAAAAAAAAAAAAAAGTAAGCCAGACAGGATTCTTAAAAAAAAGAAAAAGAAAAAGCACCAGCTGGTGTGGCTCAGTAGTTGAGTGTCAACCCATGAACCAGGAGGTCAAGGTTTGATTCCTAGTCGAGGCACATGCCTGGGTTGCAGGCTCAATCTCCAGTGGGGGCATGCAGGAGGCAGCTGATCCATGTTTCTCTCTCTCACTGATGTTTTGCTCTCTCCCTCTTCTTTTCTCTCCCCTCCTCTCTGTAAAAAGTCAATTTAAAATTTTAAAAAAAAAAAAAAAAGAAAAAAAAATGAAAAAGTTAACCATTTTGGAGGATCTACTGTAGGTCAGCTATTAGGTTAGGGATACCAAGAAAGATAAGTCCTTCAAGGTCAAGCACAGGAGAAAGAACCACATCTGCAATTAGTGTGATAAGTGCACAAATTCAGGCTTGTCTATCACAACAAACTTTATAATCAATTTCTTTAGACCAAGAAAAAACAAGACAAAAACACTACACCTCATTGATGTTATTTTTTTATAGAGATTAGACTACATTTATAAATTAATTTATGAATACCATCTTTATGGTGTTGATTCTTCCTCTCCATGGTGTGGGTTTCCATTGGTTCACATCTAATTTTGTGTTTTTCAGGAGTGTTCTTATAACTTTCCTCACATAGATTTTTGGATATTTATTAAGTTATACTTAAATATATCTTTGCTATCATAAATCTATTTTTCTGATAAAACATTTTAACAAAAGGTAGAGTCCTCCCTTCACCTTTCCGTACCCCCAAGCTGATTCTTAGTAAGCCTTGATGAGTCTGTTGCATGCTCTTCCAGATCTACACCTGTGCATTCACATGTGTATGACTTAGACACATGGGACCTCACTATGTGTATTGTTCCTGCACCACAGAATGACAGCGTGGAGGCACTATGTAATTTATTAATCACATTCCCATGATGATGCGCATTTAGGCAATTTTTGTTCTGAAAGAAGTACGAGTCTCAAAAAACTACATGCTGATTTTACATGGCATCCAATAAAGTAGGACAGAAACCAGATCAGCGGTTGCCAGAGATTCACTGCAAAGGCTCAGCATCAGGGAATTCCTTGTGGTGCTGAGATTCTTTTTTTTTTTTTTTTTTTTTTTTTTTGTGGTGGTAGTTACAAGAATTGGCACGTTTTAAAACTCAAATATATATCTTGATTTGATAGAGTGCATTCTTACTTGTTTATTTTTTGCTAATCCTCAGAAGGGGAAAGAGAGAGAGAAAGAGAACAAGAGAGAGAGAGAGAGAGAGAGAGAGAGAGAGAGAGAGAGAGACAGACAGACAGACAGACATATGAATTGGTTACCTCCTGCATGTGCCCTGACTGGTTCTGGGGATCAAACCTACAATCCAAATACATGCC